AAATAAGGATAACAGAAAAGAATTGACACCTTTCAGCTGTGGTGTTGGAGAACAGTACAGAACAACAAACAATTATGTGTTGGAGAAGGTGCAGCTGGAATGCTCTTTGAAGGCAAAAATGATGAGTCTTCACCTCACATACTCTGGGCATGTTGCTAAGAGGGGCTATTCCTTGGAGAGGAACATGATGCTGGGAAGGGTGGAGGGTCAGCAAAGGTAAGGAAGACCCTCCACAAGGTGGACTGACACGGTAACTGCTGCAATGGGCTCTTGTGGGTCAGGAAATGCGAGGATGGCACAGGATAGAATAGGACTCAGATCTTTTGTTCATAGGGTTGCTATGAGTTGTACTTGACAACAACTACCAAATTACTGACAATCTTGCCAGAACTTTAACCATAATAATGTGACATAAAGGAAGAATATCTGAAATTATTGGGGGGGGCGAGAATCCTATTAAAATACTTCTCCCTTTCTAACTACATATCTGGATGAGAACAAATTTTTTTGAACAAACTTTAACCAGAGTAACATATTGCAACAGATTGAATGCAGAAGCAGATCTTTTATTAAGCCAGATTTGTAAAAATGTGAAACAATGCCATTCCCAGCATTTTGTTTACATAAAATGAAATTACTTATGTTAATATGCAATAAGTTTAGTATTATTACTTTAAAATACATTAATAATTTATATATTTTCAATTCTTAAGCTTAACTCATATTATGGTAAATAATAATGTATACTGCCTTACACATTTTTTTAAAAGGCTCTTTAAGATACTCAATACATTTTGAGAATATAAAGGAATTCATATATTCACAGAAACGTAAGCACAATCATATGATTTATCTCAACTAACAGTAACAGAAATGGTGGAAATAGATTATTAGATCAATTCAGAATATTGATAGGAAATCTAACACATTCAGTCATTAATTCAGCTTAAAAAGGGGGTTTATTGAACTGAAATTTAGGACTACAGACCACGGTAAATCCGAAATTAGAAAAGAAAAATTCTGTTTACCTACAAGGAGTTCTCAATATAGAGAGGAAATAGGTAAATTGTGTTCAGTACCGTAACTACTGATCTGAGCACCCAGGAAGTGATTTTGTCAAGGCACAGCAAGAATACAATGTAGGGACTGTTCTCACAGAATCTGCATTTTGATAATGCAATTTAGCTCACGATTTTGTGAGCCAAAGTAAACTTTATGATTCCACATATTAAATTTTATTTTTAAAGTATAATTAGTTATTCAACAGTTTTCAAAGCAGTTATATATATAGAACTGTCACACCTGTGCTCTGAACAATTAAAAAAATCCTCTTGGAAATATTAAAACATTCTTTGATGATCAGTTTAATGTCCCATTATAATTAACAGGTCCCGTCCTTTAAAATAGCTTTCTCATTGGGTTCCTGTTTTTCTATCTCACTGCCCACAAAGAGTTATAAGTTGTCCTAAAATTATGTTCTAAAATTTAAGTCCAAAGGGTTTGTATATGAAGGGTTTTTTAATTATGCTTGCTTTCAAATAATTAGGTAGTTCTCAATTAATTAGGTAAGCTGTGATGGCTTAGTGCTAAAGAACTGCACTGCCAACCCAAAGTACATGATTCTAATTCACCATCTGCTCTGCAGAAGACAGACAGGCAGTCTCTTCCTGTATGATACCGCCTCTGAAAACCCACTGGAGGGTCAGCTATGGGTTGGTTCTGAGTTGGTGCACAACAACATTTAATTAAGGAAACTAGAAGAAGTCTCTTTTCTGATTTGATTAAAAATCTAAAATTTGTGAGTAATTATTTTTTTGTTTTTCGTTACCTATGTGTTTAATGCAAAGGACTTGGTAGCTGCATCTTAATGTTAAAAAATGTGTGCATCAAAAAATTTTCCCAATAGGGTGAAAAGAAAACCTACTGACTGGGAACAAAAATTTCATAATACCAGCTCACACAAGAGTCTCATAACGGAAGTTTACAGATTACTCCTGGGCCTCCATAAGAAAAAGACTGATAACCCAATTATAAAAATGGGCAAGACAGACATAGAATTTTCACAGAGGAAGATATTCGAATGGTAAACAGATACATGAAAAAATGTTCAAAATCACTGGCAATAAGTTACTCTGTTAACAGTGGCAAAGTTTAACAGGGAAGTAAGTAATAAATGTTGGAAAGGATGTGGTGAGAAAGGAACTCTTACACATTGTTGGTGGGATTGTTAAATGGTGCAATCATTCTGGAAGGCAGTTTGGTGCTTCCTCAAAAAGCTGAACGTAGAAACTCCATGTGACCCAGCTATTCCACTACTTGGAACATACTCTGAGAAAATGAGAACTAAGGCATGAACAGAGACTTGTACATCAATCTTCATAGCAACATTATTGACCATCTCAAGAACATGAAAATAGCCTAGATGACCACAAACAAATGGACTGAGAAATTAGGGTATGTTCACATAATGAAATACTACGCAGCAAGCAGGAACAATGATTTTGTAAATTATTACCTAACTTGAGAGGGAATGGAGCACATTATGCCGAGTGAACTAAGTCCCACTAGAACAAATATTGCATAAAATCATTTTTGTAGAATAAGTATAAGGATCCAGGAGTGGGAAGTGGAGGGAAGGTGGAAGCAGAGGGATGAGGCTGTGCAGCGGAAGAGGGGATTAATCATGGAGCTGTACCATTTGATGGGTTGGGGAGTAAGGAAAATTGGAAGAATCTGTTCTGGAAAACAATGTATTCAAATTTTGTAAATAAACTAGTATTTTTTTTTTTAAAAAAGAGAAAATCAAAGGGGATGAGCTTGCTCAGCATTTCTTTTTTTTTCCCCAGCATTTCTTAAGTAGAAGGAACTGAAGGACACATTCAAGCCTCTAGTTATAATACTCAATAATACTATGCTTAAAATATTGAGTGACCCCAGGAAATATTAAAAGATGAAAAGGCACACCCCCAAAGAACCCCAAAACAATAAAACTTAACTTCCAATTAGAAACGAGGAGGATGAGGAGAGGTGCATTATATTGTACACAGAGGAGAAGTGCAAGTATCTCTCACAACAAAATGTACAACTCTCACATTATAGTATACATACTTCATGCCCATAGAAACCTCTCCAAATTATTTAGGAGCAATGATGTCAGTTTGAGAACTAAGGTGTGTCTGACTCAAGTCATGATAGTTCTGATCACTTACTATGCCTCTGAGAGCTGGACAATGAATAAGGATGACAGAAAAAGAACTGATGCCTGTGACCTGAGATGTTGGAGAAGAATACTGAATAACCATTCACTGCCAAAAGAACAAACAAATTTTGAAGAAAGTGCAGCCATAGTACTCTTTGAAGCCAAAGATGATAAAGTTTCTTCTCACATACTTGGACATGTTGCTAAGAAAGGCTATTCATTGGAGAATGACATTATGGTTGGAAGGGTGGAGGGTTGGTGAAGAAGAGGAAGACCCTCAATCAGGTGGATGACACAGTGACTGCTGCAATGGGCTTTAGTGTATCAAGAAGTGTTGAGGATGGCACAGGATAGGGTTCAGATCTGTTGTTCATAGAGCTGCTATGGGTCATACTCAACCACAGCCAACAAAAACAACGATGACAACATGTCCACAGATACCTTAATATACTGTTGTGATGTCTAAGATGAGGAAATATTTTATAGCTAAAAAAATTAAACAAAACAAATAAATATACATATGAAAAATGATAATATTTAACTTATGGAATGCAAATCACAGGTTCAGTTATTTTTGTGACACTGAAAAATGATAAATTATTGATCAATTTGAAGGCACTAAAAGCAAAAAACATTATCAATGCCTTCTCATAAAATTTCATGTTAGATCAAGTTATATGGTCCTCCAAGAGCCCCCTTTTACCACTTTATTAACTTTTTCCAGATTTCATCAATATTATTAAATAAGTTGGTTCTTTTGAAAATTTAAATTGTCTTTTCATAGCTTTTTGTTTTCTGTGCATATCAATAACATAATTTCAACAACAACAAAAAAATTCGAATTGGGATAATAGAACTTACAATATAAAATCCCAAATGTAAGCAGCATATACTTTTTTCTTTTTAATTATTATACTAGTTTAAATTCTGCCAATTTCCCTCACACCTCCCTACCCATCAAATTTATTTCATAAAACAACAAAAAGTGATAAAAAATACCAATTGACTAATTTTAATGCAGTTTTCATGTGTAACAATTATGTACTTGATGAGGTCAGAAACTATCCAACTCTTTTTTATTTACCTCTGAACACTGCATTCATATTTCATCTAATTATTGCATCTTTTTAACAGTAGTAAGAACCAATTTCCATAAAATGTTTGAAAATATAAGTAAAATCATGTGATGTTTCTTTGCATATTCTTATTTTTAAAATATTCCATTTAAAAAAAACACATTTCTTTGAGAAGCTAATGAAACTTGGTCAGCCTCCACAGTCAAAATCACATAGAAACTTCTCACATCATAAAATTTGTGTACTATAGCAGAGAGATGACAGACTCCTGAAATCCATCCATAATTCTTCTAGTGATCGAAAGATTTTCAGGGTCAAAATGTTTACAGTAAAGCAATTGAAAAGGTAGTTGGTTGATGACTACACACTGGTTTTTTTCTTTAGACTATAGAATAATTTTTCCTGAAGCATGGTATGTTAGGATATTAACTTTGATGCCCACTTTGACAGCATCTAAACTAAATGGGTATGATGAAATATGTAGTATTCTAAATGTCATTAAATAACAAGATTTCTTTAGAATATGAAGTTTTAAATACTATGCTCATAAGCATGAAATGATAACCTCTTTCTGGCAAATTTTCCCCCAGAGAAATTTTACACAGAAAAACAGGATCACATTGACCAGGTTAATCTGATTCACAGCAACTTGTCCTGAGTACAGAATCTTTAAATATTAGGTGTAACTAGTGGGGAAAATGTTCCCAATGAACTTGAATAAATACCTCATCTGTCATTAGGGTTGCAATTGATCTGCCAATTTCATGGTACTGTTGACCCTTTCCCAGGGGTCCCAGAAGAATGAATAAAAATCTGTAATTAAGAAGAAAAAAAATGTTTCAAGGCAAAAATTAAAAATCATTGTAAGAGTACATAATTAATCATCTTAAAAATATTATACTAAAGTTATGGATTTTTTTATGTGAAATATTTCCCTGGCTTTCTATAGTTGAGTATTTTGAAAAATTTCATACTGATTAAATCTTTTTATCTCAGTGTTTCCCCATTTAGTTGCCCTTAGAAACAACATAGTTGTTGGGAATTTCAAGTATTTCATGGTCTTCCTCTCCTTACAATCATGTTACTAATAACTATTCTTGTATAAGTGTGTAAGGCAGCTGTACCAGGCCTCATGCCTTAATATGCACCTTTTAGATAGCTAATTTCTGATTTCCTCATCCCTATCAAACCAGTAAGTACTTTGAGGGAACAAGCATGTCCTTTTGCTGAAGAATTCTCTATTCAACTTTGCAACTTTGAGCATTTACATTCATAAGCAAAGTCCAGTCTAGAGTAAGCCATCAGGTTGCAGCAATCTACCCTAGCACACAGCATAGATCATCTTCTCTTCATCTGAGTTCTGCTCTCCTCATCCCTAGCCATCTGTGACTAGGTTCAAATGCATCATCTCCAAGGTCAGGAGCCCACATTCCTGCATTCCAGATCTGTTGGTCTCCTCACTCAGCCCTAGCCCCTACATATGGTCACATCAACAAGCCAGGGGTCCTCATGACTCCTCAGGCCAACTTCTCTGCTTATCCATACATCTGTGCATGCTAGGTGGACAGTGCTGAAGGAACAGGTCTAAGCTCAGTCTAGCCTTTGTCCATTATTTTATTCCTCCCACTTCTAATCCTGTGGCTCAGGAGACTGCTATGAGTAAGCATACTCCAACTTCAAGTCTTAGAAGTGGGCTCTGATAGGCATCAACTTCACCCTGTCCTACCTGAGAAGCCAAATAGCACATTCCAGTTTTAAAAAGACACTTTCTTCCTTTTCTTTTTCTTGCCCTCATTTCCTGCTTGCCCTTCTTTTGAATGTCAATTTCTTCAATCAAAAATCCAATGTGCAGCGACAAATCCATTCAAATGCGAATCTCCAATCAGGTATTGGATGGGACTCAATCTTTACCCTCACCCAATCCCAAACACTCACTACCAGAACCTAATTTTAACAAGCTTAACTCTAGGGCAGATTATCTCTTTTAAGACATCAATCAAATACTAAGCAAAGGCAGACTTACACACTTTCTAAAGCTATCATATCCAGTTTTCCTTTATGTAGTTGTTTTTTCATCTCCTTTCACTCTTTAAATTGATTTACATACAACCATCCTTACACATTATCTCATGGTCTTTAAAAAGGGAATGTTGTGAGAGCAGACATGTAAAATCTAGTTAAATTCTTCTGAATAGAAAGGAAAGGAAATAATGAAAATAACAAAATAAAGAGAACTACTTTTTTAAATACATAAATAAGATTCTCAAGCTGGACGCAAAACAAACAAGCAAAAAATAAATCAAGACTTATTTAGAAGAGGGAGAAAAGGTAATACAGCATTACACATAAAATGCAATTGAACAGATAGTAAAGATATACAAAATGTACATTAAATAGGAAAATTGTCTGGAATTCAAGTGTAAGCAGAAAATAGGAGAGTTAATTATCTGTTCATTACAAGGTTAGAGCAGAAAAATATCAATCAGTTGAATTGTAATACTCTATCAAAATTAATTTGAATTTGAAACTCTGGCAAGCTCATTGTCACAACTGGAACTTTTAAAGAAATCAATATGTGCTCTAAAATTGGGGGTTTAGTAATTATCCTGTCTCTGTGAGGTTAATTATAATTGTGAAAATGAAAGAATGTCATATATTCTGGAACATAATTCTATGGTGTTAATTTGTTAAATAGTTCATGCTATTAAGAATGAAAATCAATGGCTTTATAAGGTGAACTGAATGGTGCTCTACTTCTACCCTCCATGTAGTCATAAACTTTAGCAATTGTGGATGTTTTTACAAAGCCTAAATTATTCACTTTTTGTGTTAATTTTAATTGAATACAATTGAATGTGTCCAGTATACATTAAAAAAGGGAGTAATTTAATGTGGTAACAGATATCAAGTACAGTTCTGTTTAAGAAATTCCTACTTCATGCTCTGTTATAATATCCTAAAATATTATTTTCTGATAGCTCTACTATGTTTAGTCATTGTACTCACATTCTGACCTAAGTGTCCTCCTTTGAAAGTATGAGGAACCCTGAATAACTTCCTTTACTGTATTTATCTAACTAGTCTTTTTCCATTTTCCACCTTTCCTAAGTCTTGTCTTCGGAATTCCTATTCACAAAGTGGTCCAAAGTTCTCCGTATGTTCCTTCATTGTTCTCTGTTCACATCTTCCTAAGTCAGGATGAAATGAGGTCAACTAAATCTGACAGTTTCCAAAGTGAGGGTATATGACCTCATTATGGATTTTTTTTTTTACTCTTAGGAATTTTCTTTTTCTTTCTTTTGAAATACAAGTGATGTCATTGTCATAAATAGCCATTATTTACTAAAAAAATCACTAGATACCGTTCTAAAAGATAGAAAGAATGTACTACTAGAAAGTTGAAGGGAATATTAAATACTACTAAAAGAATACTTCTATACTTGGGGAATAGGGGTGGAATGGTTAAGTGCTTGGTTGCTGAAAGTCAGTGGTTTGAACCAATCAGTTGCTCCATGGTAGAAAGATGTACAAAGTATCTGCAAAGATTACAATCTTTATAAATTTATGGGGCAGTTCTTCTCTCTTCTATAGAGACACTATGAATCAAAATCTACTTAAATGCAACAGTTTTGTACATTTAATAAATTTCACATCTTAAACCGGGTGGCTCCTTGGAGGCAAGGATTCTGAGGCTCGATCTAACATACTTTGGACATGTAAGGAGAGACCGGTCCTTGAAGAAGGACATCATGCTTGGTAGGGTGGAAGGACAGCGCAGGAGGGGAAGGCCCTCTATGAGGTGGATTGATTCAGTGACTGGGATAATCGGGATGGGAGTGTCAGAGACAGTGCGATTGGCACAGGACAGAGGAGAGTTTAGGGTTGTTGTACATAGGGTCGCTATGAGTCGCAAGCGACTCGACGGCACATAACAACAACAACAACAAATCTGATCTCAGAAAGTCTGGATTAATTGGAAGCTGTACATAGAAAATAATAGCCTTATTTACATAGTCAGATGCTACTTTTATTTACATGCTTCTCCTTTTAAAATAAATGTGAGAATATTGTACACAAATCTTAATAGGTCTCAAATAAGATAAATATAATTTCTTATAACTTGAATGGTAACTAGGCTCCTGCCTCAAGCCAGAGTCCAGCATAGGTAAGCTTACTTCTTATAAAGTTTCTAAGAGGAAATGAAAGGGAGCTCTGGTGGCCTAGTGGCAGGAAGCTGTACTGCAATCCTGGAGACATGCAGCTCAAGGCCACCAGTGGCTCCATAGGTGAAGAACAGGCAACCTTCCCCCGAACCCCCCCTACCCGCCCCCACCCCCGTGCGGAAGGTCCGCTGTGAGTATGTTCCACCTCAAAGGTACACAACAAGGAAATGACATTTGATTCCTTGAAGTCTTTCACCTCTCACTAAAACCAAAATAGTTGGAGAAAAATTGTGAAAGATATTCTTAAGATTGTTACCTGGTTGGGATTGGGACTTCAGCCAGCCCTTGAAGTAATACAGCTGGAGACAACCTGACAAATGCAACTACAGTTCGATCCAAAAACTCCAGTTCCCCAACTAGGATGTTGGAAGCTTCAGCACCTGGGGGAATCTTCTTCATAAAATGCAGATCAACCTGAGAGCATTGCAGAGTAAAATAAGATAAATAAAATGGAAACAATGTTATATTCCTGTACAGTGCTTTTGCTATAATAACCTATTACTAATGGTAGTTTAACCGAAAATAAATTGTTATTATTTTTAAGAGATTCTTCTTCTGTATTAGAAAATTTTAGGGCAGAAAAATATATATGTTAAATGCAATTAATATACTTTAACCATAATTTAATTTTCTTCTGCTAGAGATTTACTTATTTTCTGATAAATTTCCTTTATTTTCATATATATTGTAATTAATATCAGAATCTGCCCAGTGCAAAAAGAAACACAATTACATTTCTTTTAACAGTATATGTTATGATTCTAACTTTCATATTTACTTGAATTACTATATTCTTCACATCCTATACTTGAACTGACACTTCTCCAATTTTAGTTTTTCAGCAAAGAATTAGAAAAGTAAAATTAGAGAACAAAAGAATAAAATTATTAGCATTTAGAATTACTAAAACCCCACAGTTGAATTTGACATGAAGTGCCTATGATTCAGATGAATGAACACAAAAGAAAAGCAATTACAAACAAGAAGAAATGCTAAGCAAACAGTTAAGGGTGAGGTCTGAAAAATGGATGTAAAACTGTAAGAATAAGTATCAATTTTAATGCACAGAGCCTCAGCAGAAATCAAGCTGTGACTTTAAAATCAATTTTACCAAGTTCTTTAATTTTCAATCCATTTGTTTTGCTTTTTTTAGCGGAAATTTATAGTGGGAATGAGAGTGTATCTGCTCTAGAAATTGGTTTTATGCACTCCTGTTAATGAGATGTGGGCCAAACCTCAAAATGGGAATAGCAGAGAGAGTACCCGCAAATGTGGATAAAGTTGAGTTTTCTGGGTTTTGGTGTATTGGTTTTTTTCAGGCCAGATAATGCTGTTGTGGGATTAATGATTTAGGAATATTTTTTTTCTAGAAGTTAAAATTAAAACTATTTGAAACTCTTAGGAAGGGCATGTTGGAGAGTCCATTGCCACACTATCATGACTCGATTAAGTGAAATACAAAAATAATCTCTAATATGACTTTGAAAATATCAAGTAGAACCCAATTTTTTATTTAAAAAAAAAAACCAAGCCAGAATTTAATGGAGTAAAAATATTTTTAAGAAGAAATACATGATAAATATTAAGGAGAAAAAGTTTTTAACCTCTGAATAGAAATTTAAAACCATTCAATACACACTAGGATATTATTTTTAAAAAATAAACAAAACCCTATCCATTGCCATAAAATTGATTCCAATTAATAGTGCCTCCATAAAACAAAGTAAAACTACCCCATAAGATTTCTAAAATATTTGTGGAAGCATACCCCACCATTTTCCCACAGAGCAGCTGATAGATTTGAGCCATCGATCTTTCCATTAGCAGCTAAGCTCTTCATTACTGCACCACTAGGGCTTCTTGAGGTAATGCATATTGTTTTCTATACATATAAAAAACTGGCTAATTTTTTTAGATGGTTTAATATTTTGCTATTTTAACTGACCAAGAAGACTGAAGAAGAATGGATGCCTTTGAATTAAGTTGGTAAAGAATATTGAATATACCACAGTCAGAAAATACATTAGTTTGGAAGAAGTGCAACCTGAATGCTCTGTAGAGGCGCAGTGGATATGTTATCAGCAGAGACCAGTCCCTGGAGAACCGCATCATGCTCAGTAAAGTAGCAACTTCCTCAAACAAAAAACCAAACCCACTGCCAGTGTTGACTCAGAGCAATCCTCCATCATGTTTTCAAGGCTGTGAATTTTTATGGAAAAAGAATGCCTATCCTTCTCCTACGGAACAGTTGGTGGATTCAAGCTGGCCTTTACATTAGCAGCCCAACCCACCGGTCACTTAAAAGAGGAAGACTCTCAATGACATGGATTGTTAGAGTGGCTGCAATAATGGGCTCAAAAGAGCACTATTTTGTGAGAATGGCAGGCTTAGCCATCTGTTTTATTCTGTTTTACAAAGGATCACCATGAAATGAAACTGACTCGACAACACCTAATAACAACTGAATAGAACATTTTTATTTATAGATGCAAAAATTTAAGTATAATAGGAATTGTTAGGATGTATTTGTATTTGCTTTCTAACTGGGAGAAATGTACACATTACAGAAAAAATTGTGCTCACTATAATGTATAAATTCTCAAGAAGAGATTTTACATGTACTATTAGGCTCTCAGTAAAAATCAGGCTTTATGAGAGAGAAAAAAAAAACACCTAAATCCTCAAATGTCTTTAATAGCCTGAAAGAATAAACAATTATTCTTTTTTGTCCTTTCAATTAAAACACATTGCTGTGGAGTCCATTTCCGTAACATTTTAACACATAGTAATAAACTGTAAAATGAGAAAATAGTTTTTTATACAACTCTATTAATAATTGATTATCAATTTGAATTATATTTGTAATAACCATGTCACTTTATTGAAGTGACTTTATTTACTTTTCTTTTTATTTACATTTACATTTATTTTATTTTATTTATTTACTTTACTTTTTATTTACATTTTCACCTGGAAAATTTTCTCAATGCATTAATTACTTGAGAAATGTCTTATCTCTTAAAGTGCATGCATGCATGCAGTAGGCAGCATTAGAAAGAACTACTTTTAAGATAAATAGAAAACTAGTAAAACGTGTGAGGTCTAAGGGGGAAAGGGCAAGAGCAGAAGGGTGAGGATGTGTGGAGGGTAATCATAGGATCACACAATTTAATGTGTGGAGGGAAGGGTGCGTTAAGGAAATGGGAAAGATCTGGTGTGAAAAAACAATGTATATGAATTCTGCAAGTAAAGAGTACAAAAATTTTATCTTAAAAAGAGACTAATTATGTGGATAGCACATAGGAGTTTTCAAAGTCCTGTTATTTCAGAGGCGGATGGCCAATTCTTCTTCCTAGTCTGTCTTAATTAGATTGCTCAGATTTAGAAGATTATCTGACAGACAAGCATTTTACAGAGAAGAGCAGATTAAAGATATTTCCTAGTAGTAGAAAAAAACCAATAGATTCTGTGTTGTCCCCACCCTTGCCAGGTGTGTTTTGAGGCACCCCTTGCTCTGCTCCAGCAGCATTTATATCTACTCCCACCAACTCCATTCAGCAACAATTTTCCATATCCAGCCCTTGATGTGTGCAATTCTTGAAGAGGGACATTATGCTTGGGTGGGTGGAGGGACAGCGCAGGAGAGGAAGACCCTCGATGATATGGATTGATTCCATCACTGAGGTAATGAAGACAGGTATGTCAGAGATAATAAGATTGGCAAGAGACAGAGCAGGGTTTGGGGCTATTGTACATAGGGCTACTATGAGTCGCAAACGATTCAACGGCACATAATAACAACAAACAACAACAATTATGTGGAAGAAAAGAAGAAATAAAAAAATTATGGTACAATTGGGGGGGAGGATATAGCTTAATTAAACAAAGAATTATGTTGGTTTTGTTGTTACATGCCATGGACTTGGATCCAACTCTTAGTGACTCTAAGTCCAAGAGAAAAAGACGAGGCTTCATTTAATCACCAAATGGGGAGGGAGTAATTTCAAACTCAAACTCACTGCTGGGGTGTCAGTTCCCACTCACATCATTCTTCGATGCATCTGGAGCAGCTGGCAGATTTGAACCATTTGGATTAGCAGTGCAAAGCCCTACCAACCCAGTAACCAGACCTCTCTCTCATGTATTTTAAGAACTAAAAAAACTGTTATGGTTCAGTAGGACCCAACTCAAAGCTGGTCCTTCATTGGATTTCTGAAGCTGTAAATCACACAAGAGCAGATTGTTCCTTTTTCTCCCTTGGAGCTGCTACTGAATTTAAACAGCAGAGGTGACACCTCTGGGTTAGCAGCATACCTTCCTATGGACGAGGCCACTGATCTTCCTCATTTGAAATAAGCACAAGCAGTCAGGAAATCAAAAGATGAATTACATTGAGAAAATCTATTGTCAGGGACCTCTCCAGAGTACTGTAAAGCAACGATGTCAGTCTAGAGACTAAGGTGAGCCTAATCCAGGCCATAGTTTTTGCAATTACTTGCTATGCATCAGAGGGTTGGACAATGACTAAGGATGACAGAAGAAGAATTGATGCCTTTGAATTGTGTTGCTGGAGAAAAGTATTGAACATATATCATGAACTGTCAAGAAAACAAATAGTTTTCTGTCCTAGAGAGGATGAAACCAAGTTTCTCATTAGAGGCTAGGATTTTGAAGCTCTTTCTCACATACTCTGCGTATGTGGCCAAAGGAAACCAGTCCTTGGAGAAGGACCTCATACTTGGAGGGTGGAGGGACAGCACAGGAGAGGAAGACCTAGATGAAATGGATTGATACAGTAACTGGGACAATGGGGTTAGGTGCGTCTGAATAAGTGAGACTGGCTCAGGACAAGGAAGGGTTCAGAGTGCTGTACATGGGGTTTCTATGGGTTACAGCGACTTAACAGCACATAATAACAATATCAAATTATGTTTTTATACATAATGTACAATTAAATCATGCCTTGTGTCATGCTTATAGTAGCCTTGAAGTTCTAAATTTATTTTCAAATATAATTAATAAAGATAATAATATGTAATATAATTATCTTTTAATACTTTATGTAACTACAACAAAACCATCAAACTCAAGGTCCATTTATTTAGCATTTTATAAAATGACAACTATCTTAGACAACTCTGATGATGTAAATTGAATATTGTATACCTCCAAAACAATTCTCAATTGGGACAAACCATGTTGAATAGATATAAAGATATACTGAGAGGTTTTGTTCTTCTGAACAGAACCTTGAAATAATCGAGACATATAATCAAGATGTGGATTTACACTCACCACACTTGTCAATCTCCGGCCTTTACGTTAAGAAGGAAGAGGTGCTTCATTCTGGGAATTTAGTACTTAGATTATTGGTAAGAAACATTTATACCTCCAGGAAACAAGATTATAAGAAGATAGAGAAGGAACAGAAAGTATCTACAACCTACGTATTAAGATGTAATGAAGAAAACACAAATTGAATTTGACCAAAAAGTTTAAGTCTTAAAGTCTGTGGTTTAAGGATTTATTGTTTAAAATGGCTTCCTTATACATTAATTTACTTTGCCGTGGGGATGGGCAGGAATATGCAAATAGCTTCTGTTAGCCTACCCACAAGGGGATTGGCTAGTCTCACAAGGGAAATGGCTGGTATCACCATTAAATTGAGTAGATCCAGCAGCAGAAATTAGAGCATCTTCCCACCAGAGAAAATAAAGAAGCAAGAGAATATAGTGTGTCCTTCAGAGGCAGAAGTTCTTGTGCCAGCCAGTCTAGGGCCTATGGGAGCAGCAGCCATCAAGCCACAGCGGAAAACCAGAGATCTGACACGAGCTGGGGCCTTGGGACTATTATGCCATGGAGCGGAGCTAGAGCTAAGAGCCTTTGCCAACATTTGTTGTACAATTGGATAGGGGAAAGGCAGAAGCCATAATTGGCCCTAAAGCTACAAGGCTTAAGGTTGAGACACCTGCAAGTATATTTCAGAAGCTGTCCTGACTGTATTCTTTCCCAATATGGTCTATGAGCTATTGCATCAGACTTTGAACCCAGCAAAACAGTAATATTGGTGATGGTATGAATAGAAAGAGGTATACGAATAAAGGGACATGTCTGACCTCATGAGAATTGGTTTTGTGTTGTGGATGTTGTTGACAGGGACAGTTACCCTTTGTGAAGTTGGTAAAAACCACAAAGGGATATCCCCACATGGTGCTTGCTCTTTTTACAAAGACTACAGGAGAATGTTAATAGGGTATTTTGGGGAGATATGGTATTGTGCTAAGAAGATGTTCTTGAGCAGCTTTCTTAATCTCTCTGTGATTCAGCCTTTTCATCTATTAAATGATTGTCTAAGGTTTCCTATAGCTCTAGGATTCTATCATGAAGCTTTCTGTAACATATTGTTATTAAGTGTTCTATACAATGAAGATACATGCAAAATAAAGTTGTTTGTACATAAAAGGAGGTGTGATGCCTTACTTGGGTCATGTTCAATTCTAAATACATCAGCAATATTTGGAAAGTCTGAGAGTAGTCATCATCTATATGCCTTTTTATTTAAAAAAGAGAGAGCTGTTTTCACATGTCTATTTTTAAGATACTTCATAGGGAACTAAAAGTTGATAGCTCAGACTATATTATTATATACTCTAAAAAGTCAAATCAGCCTAATCACTGGAAAGGTAAATAAACATTTTATTTTTCATATCATCTCAAATTTCTGCAGAGATTTTGAATGTACATTCTAAAACTTAAAATACTGAAATGGACAAAATAATCTGTCAACTGGCTGAAATTTTATAAAGTTACAACCAAACTCTAATCATGAGGCTAAAATACCTTAATCCATGTGCCTGCAAAATCTGACACTAAAATTTGTTTCCATGGTAATGGATCATGACTGCTCTTTTTAATGCCCTACTTCTCTGCCCTCCAAGATTAAAAGCCAAGACACATTATGCAGTGTTTTCTTATTACGTTCAAATTCAAAGACTTAATATTTTAAATCTCACAGGATTCATTCAACAAATGCATTCCACGCATTATTTAAGTCATTAGCGATTGAGGGGAAATTGAAAACAAACAAACAAACAAACAAACAAACAAAAACAACCCAACACATTCAGTTCCGCTCCAGTGTTTATTTTGGTCACTACTATTTCTACTAAGAGTAATAAGAACAACTACCTTAAAAAAATCTTTATTATTTTTATTGTGTGTGTAGTGTCAAATCAGATCTGACTGGTACAGGAGGAGATTAACCCTCCTTCTCTAGCAGAGCATCTGGTGGATTCAAACTGTGTACCTCTGGAATTACAGTGCAATTTCTTGTCACTAGGTCACCAGAGCTCCCTCAAAAAACCACCTTTTATTGAGCACTTACAACATGCTCATCACTCTGTTAGAGACTCTTTATAATCTTGTTCAATTTTATAACAAATCTTTAAAATTCAGAAATAATTGCTATCAAGCCCAAGCCAGTAGGTTCATGATTGACCCTCCATTGGGTTTCTTGGTAAACTGCAGGGGAGCAGATTGCTCATATTTCTCTAGAAAAGCATCTGGTGGGTTAGAACTGCCAAGGGAGGTGGTGTTTGGATTATAAGTGCAACTCCCTACTGATTTGACCACCAGAGCTCCCAACATATCTGTAAGTAGGTATTATTCTCATTTTGAAAATAAGAAAACTGAAGTTCAGATATCTTCCCAAGGTCAGATAACTTATGTTTTTTGAATGCAATTAAAGGCTTCATACTTTTTCTTCCTCTATGTACTATGCGATGAATAAGAGACTTAAAAAAAATTATTGGCATTGAGAGCTCTAGAAGTTTAAATTGCCTATGAAAAGAAAAAAATGACCCAGTGAACAGAAATACAATAAGAAGAAAAAAATATTAAAGGAAATAAAGTCTACTTCTCACTCTCCTGTAGTTCTTATTGCTTTGGAGGACCTAAAGTTAAATCTCAACTTGATAATCTTTTCTTTTCTGAAGGCTGCAAAGACAGATTCCACAAGTATATATGGAAAATAATAAGGACGTATAAAACCCAACATCAAAGGATAAACAATAGAAGAATTGCTTTTGAGAATTACAAAAATGCCTTTGTTATACCGTTAGTGTGTGCATAAACAAATATGCAGCTTCTATGTCATTGTTTCTTAAAATAATATTTTAAGTTAATGATACCAAACAATAAATGCATGGAAGTTTGAGACAACAGTTTTATTTCAGGTTGTGGATGAATGACAATGCAATGTTTTAAAAAAGGTTGGGGGTTTTTTGGAGTGGCATATGGAATACATTTGAACTGGCTTTATATTTGAATCGCATGCCTCCACACAGTGAAATGAGCTTTGAACCACTGTAGAAACAGCCGGAGTTTGCCCTCACCTCTCTCTCTTGCTGATGTGGAAGTCCTTTTTCATGTCTTTGTTTCATCCCACATGGACTAGTATGCCCCTTTTGTTGGCCTCCCAGTCCCTGCACGCATAATTAACAGACTTAAGCTGGTACATCAAGCTCCCACAGAGACTGCACCAGGCCCCAGCCAGGAGAGCATGCATATAACTGGACCTACTCAGGTTAGGTTTCAATGGAAGGATGCTGAATACTTCTGAGGAGATGATTGTTAATTGTTTAGAACTTATTTCATTCCCAGCTCCTCCCACTATTAAAAGTATTGCCAGTGTTAAAACTTTATTAACACATCTCTTTGATTTACTAGTGTTTCAGCCACTCAGATAAAGAGAAATTGTTTTCTGCTAAATAGTGAAACTCTTCCTCCTTCCTGTTTGTTAGCTTCCAATGACACATTAAAATGCCAGAAGTTTGCTATTCCAAGTCATATTATTTTGATATACTTATTTTCCAAACAGAATGTACTCAAAGGATTTCAGCTTGAATTGTTGCCAATTAGATGTATACTTAAACAGAATCTGGTTTTATTATGATGTTATTCAAAATTCAGTTCTCCAAGTGTTTTCCTTACAATAAAACAATGACTTTGTAGAGCTTTCTTTTATAGTATTATATTTTATGTAGAACTTTATATGCTTTGCTTTATCAAAAACTTAAACAATGAGATAAAACTTCTGTTTAAATAGCCAATAAAGTCCAGATGTTTGAGGATTATTTTTCTATTGGAAATTCCATATTAAATCAAGTGGCTGAAACCTGAGTATTATGTATAAAATTTATATATTTGAATTATCAAATAAAAAAGCATTACAGGTAGACTTAAATGCTAATGTTATATATAAAATTATCAAGTTTTGACCAAGAAAAAACAGGGACATGCAAAAATCGTGTCAACATTTCTTAAGAATGGGTACTAATTTTTTGTAGTAATTCAGCAGCTTACTTGGAGGAGAGGGGGAAAGCTTACCTTGCTGAAATCAACAGTGCTATTTTCTCTGCTCACATCATTTTTGTTTTCAACACAGGCTGGAGCAGACTGAGGAGAAACAACCTGACCTGCTAAAAGAGATTATTATTACAAAACAAAAATAATTACTTAGATAATTCTGGCCATATTGAGTGAAATATGAATTTCTATTGAATATGAATTTCTATTTAACTAAAGTTTCTCAACTAGTTCATGATATAAGCGTGAAGAGTCAAGATAAATAGATTTCTATCAATGCAAAAATTCTTATTTATCAGTTACAGATAGAAATGGGAGAAATCTGTCAAGAAATAAACTTATCCTCAGATAAAATTCAAACTTCAAGACTATTTTCTATTAAGAAAGATCATCTAGAAACAGAGATTTTAATCTAACCATTGTTTCAAAACATCATTTATTTCTATATTTCAATGAAAATTGTTGTTTTTTAAAATCAGACAAGATAGAAATTTATTATTATTTAAGCTTATCCTGAAGAACTTAAAGCATAAAGGTTAAAGAATAACGAGTAATTAGTATTTATTCTGAAAATTTTTAAACCTGTTTCTATCTTCTATTGCATATTAAAAACAAAATTGAAAAAAAACAAATTATTGAGGGGAAAAAATTCTGGCAACAGGTTGTAAAGATTCCTATAAGAGAGGCTCAGGGACTCCATGACTGGCTCAAATTGTTACATTTTGGATTACTAACTGAAGGTTAGTAGCTCAAACTTTCCCAGGGACATTTTGGGGATGTTGTTGTTGTTGTTATGTGCCGTCGAGTCGTTTCCGACTCATAGCGACCCTATGCACAACAGCCCTAAACCCTGCTCTATCCTGCGCCAACCGCACAGCCTCTGACACACCCATCCCGATTACCCCAGTCACCGAATCAATCCATCTCATAGAGGGTCTTCCCCTCCTGCGCTGTCCCTCCACCCTCCCAAGCATGATGTCTCTCTCCAAGGACCCGTCCCTCCTGGCAACATGTCCAAAGTATGTCAGACGAAGCCCCAGAATCCTTGCCTCCAAGGAGTAGCTTGGTTTAATCCTCTCCAAGATGAATCTGTTTGTTTTCCTGGCAGTCCATGGTACATTCAGTACTCTTCTCCAGCACCACAGCTCAAAAGCATCCACTCTCCTTCTGTCCTCCCTAGTCATTGTCCAACTCTCTGATGCATAACAAGCGATTGCAAATACCATGACCTGTATCAGGCGCACCTTAGTCTCCAGAGAGACACTGTTGCTCCTGAGTACCTTTGAGAGGTCCCTAACAGCAGACTTTCCCATCGCGATACGCTTTTTGATTTCCTGACTGCTGGTGCCAAGAGTGTTGACTGTGGAGCCGAGCAAACTGAAGCTGTGAACACTCTCAATCTCTTCGTCATCCATCCTGACGCTGCTAATTGGTCCAGTGGAGAGAATCTTTGTAAGATCTGGAAATCTCTCAAAAAACTACAGCCTTGAAAATTCTATGCAATAGTCTAACATCACATACGAGGTTCCCATTAGTCAGAAGTGAATTGGCAGAAACACCACAAACTGTGGTAGATAACATATGAGGCCTTCAGAGTCTTTGGGTAGCACAAGTGTTTATGCATGCTACTGTTTATGCACCAAAAAATCAGTCAGCAGTTCAAATCTACCCAGGGATGTCTCACAAGAAAGGTTTACTTTCAAAAAATTAGTCACTGAAAACCTTACGGAACACATTCCATTTGGACCCAGTCAATGTCATAATATGTCAGAATCAACTCCAAAGCAACTGGATTTTTGCTTTGTTTCTGAGAAGTTCTGTTAGAAACATCTTTGCTCAACAGTACAAGAGCCCTGGTGGCCTATTGAGTAGGAGTTGTCACTGCCAATCCAGAGGCAGGTGGCTCGAATCCACCAGCTGTTCTTGAGAGAAAGATGGGAAATATCCTCATGTGTGATAATACAGACTCTGAAAACTCACTGGACAGTCGGCTATGAGTCAGATCTGACTAGATGTAGAACAAATATTGTGAATATGATTTATACTTGTCATTACTGATAATGATCTATACAAGTAAATAGCAATAAATTTGAATTTATTCATTTTACATTAATGTCAATCAGCAACTTAATTCTTTCGTAACCTTTCTACATTATAAAGAAGGTAGTAATATTAATGAGTTAAGCTAGGAATGGGGCAATGGTTAGTAAAATCTAATAAAATTGTCTTCAATAACAAGTCGTCTGAAATTGGTTTTTTGGCAAATAAAAAAAAAGTAAAATTAGTAGGGTTTCCTTAATTACACATATATATCACTTTTCCCTGAACTATTATCATCTTATGAAATGAGCTGCTGACTCAGATCTGACTTTGGAGTCTTGACAATATTTATGATGATAACTCAATGGATCTAAAGTCCTGCTCTGCTCTGCTCTTCGCCTAGCTCTGCTTTCTTTTTGCTACTCCAGTTTCAAGCAAAAATCACTTTTTGTCTTATTCCAATTACTGATAGTTTGCATTTATCTGAACTTCTCTGAACTCTTAGTGTAAAAGAAATTAAATACTTCTTTGAATTCTATACAAAACCACCCCTCAACTCATTCAATGCTACCTAGAAGTTACTAAGTATGATTAGTAATATTATTTTAAAATATTACTATTTTTTTTACTTTTGAGCTATGGAGTCTCTCAAAAAGGAATTGTGCATTAATATGTACTTTTTAATTCACAGCTTAAAATTCTTCTATTGTCAGGAAGAAAGAGATTTAAGGCTCTTCTAGATCTTTAATATTTTCCCTTTTTAATTGTGCAAAGTAAAAAAAAATTTTTTTGAAGAAAAAAGTACTTTTAAAGCAAGTTCACATCAAACCATGTACAAATTTCTTATTTTAGTGTAGTCCAGAGAAACATATAAACTTCACAGAAATGTCAGACTTAAGCTGTATAAAATTCTTTTCATTCTCCCATTTCTAGCTGCAATGTGCGGCTATGACTGTGAACTGTTCATTAGCAGCCATTCAATTTACCATTCTCAAAATAATAACTGTAATTTTAAAAAACCTTTTACATAATGCATTTGTGCTACTAACAGATGTCTTCAATCACCAGTTTCACATCATTTCTCCATATTTCCATGAGTTAGAATGTTAGATATATTTAAACCTAAATTTACGGAATGTTCTGCAAAATTGAGTGATGAAATTCAAGGCATGGAAAAATTAAATAAGTATCTATCTGCTTTTTTATAGTAATTTATTTCATATGGTATAAAACAACATGGAAGAACAATTCTTTCATTCCATCTGCAAACACACCAAAACTAGAATCAACCTAATGCAAACTCATCAACTTTGAATATATTGAACTTGGCAGAAAACATGCTGTAACTTAAAATTTAAAGAAATTGAATAGCTTATGTTTTCATTTGAATACTTTAAGTAGAACATTTCATAAATTACCTTCAGCTCCTGCAACATATTTTAAAAACTTGTACTTCCTCTTGTAAATATTAATACAGTTTGAGATTTATGGTTCTATACTATTCTTATTTTAATATTAATAAAACTTAAAAATTGCAAAGTTGTTAATTAGAAAGGATTTGTAAATTTTAATGAATAAGTGTTACTGATAATGACCTCATAATAAGAGGACTTAAGGAATTCTGGTGGTACTGTGGTCAAGAAATTTGGCTGTTAAGAAAAGACCATTGGTTGGTTTGAACCTGCCAGCCACTCCAAGCGATAAATATGGAACACTCTGCTCCAGCAAAGATTTATCATCTGGTCAACCCTGTAGGTAATCTTAGTATGGCTTTCTTGTAACTATGAGTTTGAATCAACTCCACAACAGTGAATTTGGTTTGGTGACTAGATTTACCTTGCAGGAGACACACTAGATTAACATTAAGTTATGTACTAGTTCTAACTGGTAGATATCCACATAGAATACATGCTAATGTAGAAAATCCTAAAATTATTAACCTGTAATGTAGAAATATAAATCACAAATTTAGAATCTTTGCACTTCTAAGATAGTATTTGATAATTATTGGTAAATATTAGTGTTTAAATGTATTTAATCACAATAAAAAGTCCTTTGAAGTTTGAAAAGCAATCAAATCTCAACATTTTTCCTAAATATGTACACTTTTCTATTTTAAAATATGTACATTTGAAATTTGTTAAAAATTAAAGCAATTAATAGAAAATGTGTATATCTTTAAGGTAATAGCTGAATACTTGGCAAGATAAAGAAAAAAAAGTAAGTATTAGTAGTTGATAACTAAACTAAGGCACTAGCCTTTGGCTATTTAAAAAGAAAGATGTCACTGTTTTGTGGGACTGAGTCAATTTTAACTCATAGAATGGACCTCTGGTGGCACAATCAATCCACTCGCTTTTCATCCCACAGGTGAAAAGACCAAGTAGTCTGTGCCCATAAATATGTGGCCTGGGGTGCCCCAATTCAGAAGGTCAGCAGTTCAAACCTACCAGCTGCTCTGAGGGAAGAAGATGAGTAATCTCTTATAACCTCAGAAACTGGGAGAGGATCCCTGTGAGTCAGAAACTACTTGTGGCAGTGATGAGTGATCTGTGAAAAACTAAAATCTATCTAGGACTCCAGACAATAGAACTTCTGGAAATCTCAAATCAATTTTTCAGTTCTGTCATCAGATATAATATGTATCTGTTAAAGCACTGATTTCTTATCTTATTCCAATTAAAATGCCTTTGATTTTAGATTTCACAGTGAATTTCATTAGATTACTATTACATAAGAAAAGTGAGTAACTTTGGGATTGGGAAGGCAACTTTTATTTTCTAGCTAATGTCTAGTCTAAAACAATAGCAGTACTCGGATTGACAATTTCATATATAGGATTTTACTTTCAGCAAAAAAGTGAGTATATTTTCCAATAGAAGAAAACAAGAATTCCCCTGACAATATAAAAGACTAAATTTAATATTTAGCACTCTTGTACATGTGTGGAAATGCTATAAACACTACTAGTTTATGGTAATTTTATAATCACTGTATCACAATACTTGCAAACATAATTTTTTTGTCTATTGATTTATATAGATGTCACTGGGCCCACTATTCATGGTGCATA